ACAACAACAACAAAAAAAAAAACAAAAAATAAAACATACAGTAAAGCCTTAATATATCAATAATTACATTAAATGGAAATGATCTAAATATAACAATTCAAACAAGAGAGTGGCAGAGCAGTTTAAATGCCAAACACCAATTATATGTTGTCTACAAGAAACTCAGTTCAAATATAATGATATAGAAATATTGGATGTAGAAGTATGGAAAAGATACATTAAGGACAACATTTTAAGGACATGATAGCTCTAGACTAATGAGAATTTTATCCATATTCTTCATGAAAGGCATAAAGGATTTATAAGGCTTCAAGAAGCCTCCCTGAAGGTTTCAGCTAAGTATTTGAAGAGGGTCTGGGCTTTAGGCTCAGATAATGAGAACAATTGACTTAAATATTTTTTTAGTGGCCACAGGCAGCACCATATAAGCATAGTTCCTTTGCTTTTGCATCTAAAAACAACATGTGGTATACTCTAGCATTCTAGGTAAGGGGAGTAGTTGTCATTAACAAATTGATAGAGTAATTGTGGGGCCAGAAGAGAAGTATGCAAGGTAAGATTTTCAAGGTTACAAGATGGAATTGACCTATTGGTCTTCTGTGGAATTTACTGCTCTTAGCTCAGTGGAAATGGTCTTTTGGTTGACTGGTCCACCCATCCAGAGGTCACCAATGAGGGGCACTTTGGGGTAAATGGACAGCTAACCTTAATCCTTTACACAGCCTGGTGCTTTGAGATTAATCATTGCCCACTAGTCAATTGACTATAATCAATTGCCCATAATCAATTGACAAGGCAGGGTAATGGGGTAAAATCGCAAATATTCCTTCTCCTGCCACTCACTGCTGAGCAGGACAGATTTTTCACTGTGGGCATCATTTTCCTGATCCAGACATCCAATAAACAAATAGCCTGCCTGACATGTTCCATGTGAGGCTCTCTAACTTGATGGGGGAAATGGTGAGTGATTTAGTCATGAGCATGGGCTTCTCCAAGCGCTTTCATTTAAGGCAGATGATCAGTGATGCCCCACAGTCCTCTGGCCTTTCACTGAGATCTATTGAATGAGAAACAATAGGAAGGTCTGTGCTCCAGCAAAGTCTCCATATTCAATGGTGACCATCAAAACAGAATTGTATCCTTAAACTCAGTGCAAACTCCTCCAAAAATTTAATAAGGCATTAATTTTTTCCTTAAGTGGTTTTTGACCTAAATGTACACATTTCCCAAAAAGTGTGTTGTGCTCAGTTCCTTTGCATCTATGAGAGAAAAGCAAATGCCAATTTCATCCAAATTTGTCACATACACAAAGGTATCTCTCTTGACACTACAAAGAGGTTGGGGGAAACAATTTCATTGGATCATTTTACCCTTACCTGCAAAGTGCTAATATGAACAGGAGTCCCTGTTCCATTCACAGTATTCTTTTTAGCCACATTTCCACCTTTTCCATCTGCTTGCTCAGCCTTAGCAATCCTGGCTTTTTCTGCTTCAACCCTTTTGGGGTTGTTCAGCATCACTTGGACAACAGCATATTCCACCAGGGAAGCAAACCCAAAGAGAAGGCAAGCAATGAGCCACACATCAAGAGCCTTCACGTAGGAAACTTTGGGAAGCTCAGCAGCAAGTGTTGTGCACTCAGAGGCCAAGCTGAGGACTGAGAAGATACCTACAGAAACAGAAAGAGGAGTGAAAATTGTTTTTTATCCCTATGAGATGTTCTGCAGTCATCCCTCTGACTAAATCTGTCTCCAGTAACTTCCAATGGAGCATGAACAATTTGTCAGGTCCCCTTAAAGCTCAAAGACTAGAAGAAATTACAGGTACATGCCTTTTATGTAAGGATTATTGACTGTGGATAAGGATTTTGTAAATACTTAGTATTTAAAAAAATAAATAGAAATTTAACAAGGGTATAAAAATACAATTTAGAGACGTCTAAATTAAAGATGTCTAAAACTACTGTATAGTATAGTATCTCTCAGGAAGCCACAGAACTCTTATTAGACAGATTACATATTTTATTTTTCAGCTTTGTTTTAGATTTCAGTTACAGAGCTAAGTTTTGTCTCCATGAGCAACTAAATCAGAACATATAAAGCAATTTTCTGATAAGATTCATAATAAAAAAAAAACCTAATAGAGAAGACACAATAGGAAACATTCATGTTCAGTGAAAACATGTGATTCCAGCTTTTCAAAGAAAAGAATAAAATTCTGTTTCATGTAATAGTAACCCTTCATTGAAAGCTAACACATCATATACTAATTTAAGTGAAGTAATTGTCAGACTCCAAAGCACTGTAATAATTTATTGCTGTCTTTTCTTCCCATTTGCCACTCTCCCTTGCATTACCCTTTCTCTCTTTTTCCTTTCCTTCATATTTTCAAGAGAGGAAATGATGAAATATAACCTGCTGGCATGGGCCACCAGGAACACGATGAGTCAGAAAAAGAACCTCATTCAGTGTCAAGGGAGACTCACTTTTCTTGAAGTAGAAAACAGATCTGACTTGGCTCTGTGAGTTCACCTCATATACTGGGTTGAGTGTACTTTTTTCTTCTTAGATTTGGCCACTTATGAGAAATAATGTATATATCATCATTAATAATTAAATGTGAACTTGGCTCTCTTTTCCTTCCCATGAAATTGTAAGCACTATATTGGTATTAATAATCAGTTAAACACTGAAAAATCTATTATATCAATTGCATCATTTCAGATGTTTCTGAAGAATTTCAAGTTTTTTTTTTTTTTTGCTTTCAAGAACCTAAGATGCTCTCTATTAGAAAGAAATTCTTGAAGAAAATATAACTTCTGCAGATGAAAACAATATTCAATATATAACAACTTGATAAGCTCCTAGTTTACTTTTAGTGTAATTATCCTTGGCCCTAAGGAAAACTAAGTACTAGTTGATGGAACTATATTTTAAAAGTTAATGTAGGTCTTAATGTTTTCTAGCCCAGCAATGGAAAGCAACATAAAAATCCAAGACCTTATTAGTTGGTTATAGCCATGGGAATTAATTTGGCAAACCATCATTCTAAGTCAAAAATTTTAAGAAAAAATTTTTCTATTTTTTCTTAAATGTTATGAGTCAAACTACCAATCAAAAACAAGTCTGACTTAACTTGAGATAAACTATTTTGACACTATCCTTTGTGCTTACATAGCATTTCATACTGATCAATAACCTAGAAGATACTACGTTTTAGTAAGCTTAGTTGTATACCTGAATATTTATCCTGATAAATTAGAAATTTTATGATTAAATATAGAATAATTTCAGATTATAGAAGGCCTTCAGAATTCTGTAATGGTTTTTTTACACCATGTTTGGTAGAGAACATTCAGAAATTTGAAATAAAGAAAAGAGAAATTATATTATCAAAAGAATGTTTAAGTAGCATTACTTTGGAGTGGATATACAAAATAGACTGAGAAAGAAAAATAGTAGTTGTGGAAACAAAAGCCTAGGTTATGATATGATGGATGGGAAAGCATTTTCAAGAAAACATTTGAAAAGAGTTACTGATTCAAGGAAGAAGGAAAGAAATTAAGATAAAGTTATTAACAGAATGGCTGGAAGAGTTTCCATAAAAAGATGGGGAGGGACCTACAGAAAAGATGACTTTGTCAGTAAAACATTGAAAGATAAGATAAAGACTAGGAAACAAAGAACCCATGATCATGACACAGCACGGTGCACCTGGGAATCTGAAAGAATGTTTTGAAAAGATTAGCCAATATCATTCAGAAAGATATCTGAAAAGAAAGAGGACTTTGTGAGGTAAAGATGCTCTGGTGTCAGAAAAGGGAGACTGATTAAAGGAACAGATGAAGGGATTATCATTAAAAGGCATGACAGAATAGTTACAGATTTTGGAGGGAAAAAGGGGGAGTATTCATAATTCCATACATTCAGTTAGAAACAAAGGTAGTGAATCCAAGACTTTCATCGTTTCAGAGATATAAAAATGAAAATGAAATAAGTTAAGGAGAAGAATGTGAACACATACTATGTGCCTTATCTTTGAGAAATCATATTATGATAGAAACCACCTACTAGCATTTTCTGTCTAAAAATAAGGAATAGGAGCAAATAATGCTACTTTGAAAAAATATTTTAGCAATATCATAGCCTTCAAATAGAATTACTTCATTGTTCAATGGTACACAGTGAAATTATCAATTTTAATAAATTATAAACAGAAAGAAATGTAAAGCCATCACCCATAAAAGTGTGAATTTTTACAGTGTTAATATTACATTCTTAATAAATTATCCCCATGCTCCTTTTTAATAAATTCTAGGACTCTTTGGTATAATATTTCTAAAACACATTTAAATTATATAGACTTTATTTGTCAAACTACTTCCTCTATAGCATAAAAACAAATCAAACCTAGATTTTGACTCTGGCAAAATATCATGAAATTGATACTGACCCTTAACAATTAGATGTAGAGTCTTCGTCTAGGAAAAGTTAAAGCCAGCAAACGATATAAATTAAATTATTAATAAATAAGCTCTATAAGGAGGTTGAATTGAACAAAATCTTCCATAAAGAATTCAGGGTTGAAGTTACAGGTTATCAACATGTAGACAGAATTGTATAATGATAAAATCATCTCAATTATTCAAGATATGTATAGTAACCTTTATGATTGTCAATGGAATGTCCACAGATTTCTTGTCCAGCCAATCACACAGGAAGAATCTGCAAAATAATTCCCAAACAGCATATGTACTAGCAACATATTGGTAAAAAGGGAAAAATTAAAAACTAGAAAAAGAAAAGATAAGGAAAGAAAAGAGAGAAAAAAGAAAAGAGAGTTTAAAAAAGGAAAAGAAAAGAAATGGAAGGCAGAGAGAAAATTGAAAACTAGAAAAAGCAAAGAGAAGAAAAGACAAGGAAAGAAAAGAGAGAAAAAAGAAAAGAATAGAGAGTTTACAAAAGGAAAAGAAAAGAAATGGAAGGAGAAACAGTATGGCATTTGCTATTAATAAACAATGCCATGAACCAACAGAGCAGGTCCAGGAGCAATTCAAGTGCATGCATGCCAACGCCTGTCTCAGCTCCAAATCATTTATCTCATGCTGTGGTAAACACCAGATTTGTACATATGGAGTTATTAATAAAATGAAAATTCATTTAAAAGTACTACTATTAATAAATTATAATAGCATATTGTTATTTCATAATTTTTAGTGGAAGAATACTAAAAGGGAACTTTGACCCAAATTATTAGTCCTTTTATATTTATAATTGAAAGTTATTTGTTAAAAAAACAATGTATTCTAAAGGGCAGCAACTACAGTATTTTATGTAACAGGAAAAGATATAGTATAGTTTACTTAGTTAAGAGTATTACAAACATTGCTTCAATAGTTCCGTGCATAATTACTACCATACATAGAGAAATAGCTTAAGACAAAAGTCATTACCTAAAATTCGCCAAGGAATTTTTGATGCTTGTTAACAATGGGGAAAGTAAATCACAAAAAGACTTGGGTGAAAAATGAAAGTAGAATACAAAACTAATTTTTTTAGAAAGCAAAATAAGTCTAGGGCAATTTAAAGTAATTACTTTATGCTCTATGTTGTCTGCTAGCTTTTAAAAAATAAAAACTACAGGCCGTAACAGAGATTGGTAAACTTATTTATTTAATCCTTTGGGAGAATGTAGGGGGAAAACAGTAGAGTAAGGAAAGATACGCAGAATCAAAACAGCTATATTAACTGGATATCCTGAAATTTAGTCTGAGTCAGTATTATTTCCTTTTCTTTTCAGATAAAATTATAATTTTGTGTCTAATAACAGACCTTCCAAATACCTTCAGGATAATTCCGTAATTATAATTGAAGATCTTAACACCTCTCACTAATAACTAGACAAAAGAGATAAAAGATTTCAACAGAGCTACTAACCAACTTGACTGTAAGGATACTTACAGAATACAACAACAAACAATGACTAACGCACACTGCAAGTGCACATGATGTGGTTACCAGAAGGTATTTGCTAGACTGGGCTGTTTAAAAAAGAGTCTCAACAAACATAAAAGAATTGACATACGTGAGTATATTATCCTGCAAAAATTGAATTAAATTAGAAAGCAATCATATTCAGGTACCCAGAAAAACTCTAAATACATTTCTAAAGAGTGCCAGAAAAACTCTAAATACACTTCCAAAGAATCTATGGGGCAAAGAAGAAATCACAAGATAAGTTACAAAATATTTCAACTGAAAGATGAAAATACAGTACACCAAAATTTGTGTACTGAAGTTAAAGCAATGCTTACAGGAAAATTTACAACTATAAATGTCCACGTTAAAAAAGAAGACAAATCTAAAACCAATTATCTGAGTCATACTTTAAGCATTCACAAAGAGATCAAATTAAATACAAAGTAAGTAGAAAGGAAATAATAAATATAGCTAAAATCAATAAAAAGGAAAATAAACAAATAGAGAAAATTAATGAGATAAAAGTGGTGCTTTGAAAATACTGGTTTTAAAAAAAGCCTTTAGTTTTAGTGATCAAGAAAATAAACAGAAAATCACAATTTAATCATATCAGGAATGAAAGATGGGACATTATTACTACAGCCTGACATTAAAAGGAAAAGGGAATACTATGAACACTTTTTGTCCTAGTAATTCACAACTCATCTAACATCTAGAAATCAATTGGTATAATTCACCAAATAAGAGGTGAATTACATTGGCCCACACAAATGTTTAAATATCTACCCATCTACTTCCCTCTGTGCCCATATACTCTGCCTTCTCTTCTGATACAATGGACCAGGGATCAGCAAACTATGACCTGTAGGCCAATTTGACCCATCTATTTTATAAATAAAGTTTTGTTAGAACACATCCATACTTGCTCAGTTTTATATTGTCTGTGGCTGCTTTACCATAGAACATACAACAGCAGAGTTTAATGGAGTGACAGAAACTATACGGTGCATAAACCTCAAATATCTATTCTTTGGCCTTTTGTAGGAGTTTGCTTATCTTTGGGGCAAACACATTTTGCTCCTAGTGAAGGGCAGTATCTCCATTTCCTGGATCTCATTCCCACTTCCTTTCTCAAGGTCACTGCTCCTGCCCTTTTTCCATCTCTCAATTTTTCCTTCACTACTGGCTGTCCATCATCAAAAATAAACTAAACATACTATGAATTTATCTACCTTTAAAAAATGAAAAAACTCTCTTGACTTTTATTCTTACCCTAGCTATTTTCCCATTCTTCTTTTTATAGCTAACAACCTCCAATGAGTTATTTATACTAGATAACTCCAATCCTTCCCCTCATCTTCTTTCTTGAAGCCACTCCAATCAGGCTTTCTTCTTCTCACTTCAAAGAAACTGTCCATTTCACAGACTCCAATGACCTTCCCAGCTCCTTTAACCTAATGGTAATCTTTAGCTCTAAAAGTAAGTCAATGATCTATGAGCAGTTGGTTGATCACTTTCTTGACCCAGAAATACTTTCTCCGCTTGACTTTTAGGAAACCACACTATACTGTTTTTTCCTCATTTTCTCAGTCCCTCTTAGAAGTAGATTTCTCTGCTTACACTCACTCCCCTGTGATTCCAACCAGAGATTGAAAACCCTGTACATTTTGACAAAATTTAAGTTCCTACTTCAGTTCTAAAATTGCCAAGTAAACCCAGACTTGAATGTCCAACTGCCTGTCTGATATCTCCTCCTAGCTGACATTGTAACCTTAACATGTCTAAAGCAAATTTCCTGGCCTGCCTAACTTCTCAAACCCACAGTATTTACGTGTACCTTTTCCCATCTTGGCTCATGTCAATTTCATCTTTCTAGTTTTTCATCCAAAATAATCTTGGTGTCAACCCTGACTGCTTTCTTTAGTCTCCCATTCAGCATACCTACAAATACCTTTTATCTCAATCTTCACTACCATCCATCATCAATTTTTTTTTGAGACAGTCTCACTCTGTTGCCCAGGCTGCACTGTAATGATATAAACTCAGCTCACTGCAACTTCTGCATTCCAGGTTCAAGCAATTCTGCCTCAGCCTCCTGAGTAACTGGATTACAGGTGCCCACCAACACACCCAGCTAATTTTTGTATTTTTAGTAGAGACAGGGTTTCACCATGTTAGCCAGGCTGGTCTCCACCTCCTGACCTCAGCTGATTTGCCCACTTGGCCTCCCAAAGTGCTGGGATTACAGGCGTGAGCCACCATGCTCGGCCTCATCATCAAATATTTATCGGCACCTGCACTACTACTCACTAGCCCAAACCATGATTATTTACCTGAATTACTGCAATTGCTTCCTAACTACTTTCCCTGCTTCTACCCTTGCCTCATGTAATTCTGTTCTCAAGAAATTAGGCAAAGAGATCTGTTTAAAATTTAGTCAGATCACGTGTAAAAGCCTTTAGGGACTTTCTGTTTCACACCGAATAAAAACCAAAATTGGCTGGGCATGGTGGCCCACACCTGTTATCCCAGCACTTTGGGAGGCTGAGATGGGTGGATTGCTTGAGTTCAGGAGGAGTTTGAGACCAGTCTGGCCAACATGGTGAAACCCCGTCTCTACTAAAAATACAAAAATTAGCCGAGCGTGGTGGCGGGTGCCTGTAATCCTAGCTACTCAGGAGGCTGAGGCAGGAGAATTGCTTGAACATGGCGGGTGGAGGTTACAGTGAGCCAAGATTGGGCCAGTGCACTCCAGCTTGGGTGGCAGAGGGAGACTTTGTCTCAAACAAAACAAAACAAAGTCATCAGGATGCCTTAGCTGATGCTACGTAGACCACCCCTCATCACTGTTATCTTTCTGATCTCCTTTCCCACTACTCTCCCTTTGACTTGCTGTGTTCCAGCCACACTGCCTTCCCTGTTTCCCCAATGTCCAAGCATGCTCCTGCCTCAGGAATGCAGCCAGGATGATCACTCTCTGGCCCACTGTGTCCTAGAAATGACTCATTTCTTCACTTCCTTCATTCCTCTATCTGGTATCACCCTCTCACTGAGGCCTTTCTAACATGCAGTTTGCTACCTCCAAACTTACTATCCTACATCACTATCTTACATGTGATCTATTATATTTATTTGGTGTCTGTTTCTTCCCAATAACATATATACTCGTTGAAACAAAGTGTTTTTAACGTACTTTATAAACTGCTTATTAGCTGTTTATTTTGTTAACTACATCCCCATCTTCTTGAATAGTACCTAGCACATAGCACCAAACAAATACTTGCTGAAGAAATCAAAATACGTAGAAGTGCTTTGCAAACTGTAAAGCAATACAAAAATGTAGCACATTATTAACTCCCGAATGTGAAATATAGGGTTTCACATTCGGGAGTTAATAATACTTAATTCTCTGGAGCTTCTCAGATATTTTTATCATCGCTGTTGATATTTCAGCAGAGTTATTGTTAAAGAAGTTAATCTGTTGTCCAACTTGTCACAGTTAGTAAATACAGAACTGGCTTTCAAACACAGGTTAACTCTAGAGATTGACTTTCAGCCATTGAACAATTCTCCACATGACAGGTCTCCTGGATATTGAATCACAGCTCAGGGACCTGGGATCAGAAGCTCTGCAATGAATGGAGATGAAAAATCCTTACAAGGATATGTCAGAAATTGGGATGTCTCCAAAGTACTCTTGAAAGCCTGACGTTTATCTCACTGCATGAACATAAGGAACTTCCAGTAAACAACAACAACAACAAAATTATTTGAGAGAAATATACATGTTTGACAAGTCTAAGAATGTAAATTCAGGTTTTTTGGTTATTTTCCCAGTAAATATAATGCGTAGTTAATTTTTATTCATGGTGAAATTTCCTTCACTTTTGGTTATAGATTTAGTCTGTGTGATTTCTATTCGGTGTAAAAAAACAAATTTCTTACTCATACGACATTGCCATTTTCATGGATTCTTTCCTAGTTTCCTACTCTTTAAGATCTGTATTTCATTTAATTCCTCCAATAAGTCAGGAGGGAGATTTGCACAAGGCCTCTCCAATGGAAGAAAATTTAAATGTGGCAACCACAAACTCACTGAGGAGGTGAGACATATCACAGTCTCACCTGTGTGAGTAACAGGTGATATTCAGAAAACACACAGACACACAGTGATAGAAAAAATTGGAAATACTCCAAGCAACCAAAATTTGTTTCCTCAATGTACATATTTTGAGGTTTGTTCACTTTGTCCATAGGAAGGGCTCTTGCTTATTTCCTTAAGCAAAAGCTTTTTAGTCATTATACAGACACAATTTTCAAAAGACTGGCTGGTGGTGTTTCTTTCTTTTTTTTTTTTTTCTTTTTTTTTGAGACAGAATCTGGCTCTGTTACCAGGTGCCAGGCTGGAGTGCAGTGGCACAATCTCATCTCACTGCAACCTCCGCCTCCCGGGTTCAAGCAATTCTTCTGCCTCAGCCTCCCGAGTAGCTGGGACTACAGGCATGCGCCATCATGCTCAGCTAATTTTTGTATCATTTAGTAGAGATAGGGTTTCACCATGTTGGCCAGGATGGTCTCGATCTCTTGACCTTGTGATCTACCCACCTCGGCCTCCCAAAGTGCTGGGATTACAGGCGTGAGCCACCATGCCCAGCCAACTGGCTGGTGGTATTTCTATGTCACAGCATTGAAAATAAACTGGAGAGCAAGGGCCCTCAAAGGAGAGCCAACCAGGCCTAACCCTAATTAGTCACCCCTGTGATATAGCACACAATAACCAATGGTTGGGAAAATGATGGCTACATAATTTTTCTTAATTTTTTTAAAAAACAAATATTACTATTCCCTGACTAAGCATATGTGATAATACATACCATTTTTTAGAAAGATTTCCTTCAACATAGTTATTCATTTTTAAGTTTGGCACTACTGAAGGTTTTAGACACAGTTATCTGTGAAAATCACTTATAAATAATTATTTCATGACAGAAAAATAGATTAACTGCTTATAATACCCCAAGGACATGAAAAGAGAAACTTAGCTTAATTATAGAGTACATAAACATTGAGAAAATCTAGTTCAATATCGAGTTTGGAAGAAAGTCTTTAAACACTGAAATTGGTTGTTAAAAATTCTAAAACTCATTGTTTCAAAGTAGTTGATTATATGGTAAGTTAGAGAAAGGTATAAGCTGTTCTTAATGTGACAAAAAAGCATGGAACACCGTACCCAGGGGCACTCTGGCAGCACTCGCGTCCGGGTTGATCCAGAAGGAAAGCCAGGAGAGAACCACAATGAGCAGGGTTGGGGCATAGACCCCCATCATGTAAAAGCCGACCTGCCTCCTCAGGGTGAAGATGACTTCCACACATGTGTAGTAGCCTTTTAGAAGCAAACACATTCAAGGCATGAGGTTCTCACCCACACAGAATAGCAAACATCAATGACAGACCTGGAAACGGTAAGTCACTTCTATTTGAGGCAATTTCACAGAGTAAATGCCTCAAAAAAGTTTTTCTTTACAGATATATACTTTATGTGATCTAAAAGGGTGACATTATGAAACCAGTTTCAGCTGACCTTTCACAACTTCATTATGACATTGAAAAATAGATCCCACATGCTGCTCCACTGTGTCAGTGTCTAGCTTTTTAGGTCATTGTTCAGAGAATTGGCAATAGAGTTGAACTTTTCCTTACCCGTGGGTACTCTCAGGGCAATGATCTAAAGGAGTCATATAGGCAGTAGTAAATCAAAGTAGAACAAGTCTAAAAAGAAACAGTCCAGGACTACACATTATCAGTATAAGTTTTCAGCCAGATGTACCACTTCTTATCTAGGGTGGATGGCAGTCTACAATAACTCTCATATACAGATAAACCTTACAAATTAAGAAGGTATTGGAAGTAAACATTAGCAAGTATACAAAGTCAGTGTTTTCGATCCATATACATAAAAGATGTATATGGTGCAAACATCTGATATTCCTCTCAATTCTCTCCCCACCTTTACTTCAGGCTCTCAAAGGTACTCCAATTGAAAAAAACAATGAAAAAACAAACAAAAAAATCTTTGATTTTCATATGCCAAGACAAATGCAGAAATTGTTTTACAGTCAATTCTAGAGTGGCCATGACATCAACTAGTCCCCCAAATTAATCATAAATTATGGGCGGCCTCATAATAGTCTTTGCTGCCTTGAGAAAGAAAATGTTAACACGAAAATGCTCACGGTACTGCGTTCAAATAGAAAAGGCATTTCCAGATGTTCGAGATTATTTCTTAAATGTTTGGTCCTTTCATTTAGCTATTTAAATATAATATTTAATGCCAAAAGTGCTTAATTTAGATAAGAATGCCATTTACCCTTTAACAAATGTAAGATTATGCATAACTAGCAAAAAGTTAAAATATCTGTAATTGTTTTCTGTTTAAACTCTATACAATGTTTTTTAAATGGTGAAACAAATAAATGAACAATAAACAAATGAAACAAATAAATGAAACAATTATGGGGGAAATGTTACTTTTTCCTGTTTTATACTTTAAAAATAATATTTACCTGATCTTCTTAATTGAAAAGAATATGCATATATCTAACACAAGAATAATCTACATATTAATAGCACCTGCAGCAGTATTTGCACAGAATAGGACCTTTATAAACATGGAATATAAGAATAGTTATTTATACCCTCAACAAATAGATTAGAAACCTTTTCCTTTCCCAATGAGGTTTAGAATCATTGCCTTCTCTGAGAGGTTATGCAGACAGTAGAGCTAATATGTGACGAAAATGGTTGTTTTCAACTGAAATAAATTCTAATTATGCCAAATGCTTCTATATTTTATTAAAGACAAGAAATGCAAGTGTTTCTTTTTTACCATTTAATTTCATTAAAACTAGGCACTATATCAAGTCATTCACAGGTTTTAAAAGGATGTAAAAAACGTAACAATGAAAAATCTCCCTTCCTTTTCTTTCCCCACCATTCACCTTAACTCCCTGCTGGACAAATAAGAACATATGTTTCTAACTAACAATCCCCTGCAATACTTCAAAAATAGAATCTTTCATAAGTACAACTGCTACAATTAAGAAGGCTCAAAGTATTTCCTAAAATTGATTCTGAAGTGCATCACTTTGTAATAGCATCATTAAGTCAAATTAGTTTTCTATTCACCGAGTGCATATGAAATGTGTTTCTCAAAAAATTACATATTTTTAAGTATTCTCAGTTGACACAAATATTATAACAACTTACTACAAAGTAGCATACTTTAAAATAAAATTTTGCATTCCATCCCATTATGTTTAAATGATAGCCCATTAACATGAGTCCTGTGATTTGAAGCAAGTTTCCACCATGTCCCTTTTTATGAAAGTACCCATTAGGGGAGCTTCGCAAGACCTGGATGCATTTAGCAGTAAAATACATGCTTGGATATTATAGTGATTTGCTCCATAAACTTTTATAAGAAACATTTCTTGATTTTTTTTTGTTTGATCTTTTCCTAGTACTGTTACATTTATGAGAGGCAGGTGGGCAGCTAATTGATATAAATGTTCATTGGGCAAATTCAATTTACTTTCTATTTCCTGTGAAGTTTTATTCCATTATTCACTCAGGCTTCCAATTTGAGTATTTTTGTATACTTGCTTTCCCACATATTTCTCCACTTTTGCTATTTCTATAATCATAAAATCATAATTTTAATAAAGTTGAAGCTGCATTATTATATCTATGCAAATTAAATATTGGCTATCATTTTTATATATTGTTCACATATATATTTATACACTCACATTGTTGTACACTGTTAAGTATTGAATGTATTTTCAACATCTTATTATTCTAAACATATTTCTAATTATCCAAACGTTAAAATATATTTTATCTATATTCATGCAATAATTCATGTAAGAACTGATCAAGTCCCTGAAACATACTAAGTGCCAAAAAATATTTTTAGGTATAAGTTGTTTTGTCATTATTTTCTGTAGCTAATGAGATTTCAGTGAGTTATTTATGACTCAAAAAATACTACAAAAAACTTACAACTCTTAAGTAATCCCCAAAATTCTGTCTACCATAGCACATTTTCTAATTTTATTCTAAGAGCTAAAATGAATAATATTTTACTTGTTTACTACATCAGAATATGGTTCTCTAAAGGGCAGGGACCTTTCTTTTATTCACTACTGAGTCCCTAAATGAAGAATTTTTTTTAAGTAGAGCTTAAAAGTGAAAAAATGAACACTCCTAGGACTTTCAAAGTTATTACATAATCATGTGCTATTACATAAAATTACAAATAAAGTTGCTAGTGTCATTTTCATCTCTAAGAAGTTTAAAAATTCAAAAGGGTCTCCTTCAAATTTCTCAAAACAATTTAGACACTACTCATTTTGAAATGTTTAGCGTATAATCTGGATGTAGGTAACAATTTTCAAAGTATAGTAGGACTCCACAGGTATTAACAGTATAGCAATATCAGGTTCCCTCTCCCACAGCATCACTGTAACTGTATGACCTTGGGCAAGTGTCTGTTTCATTAGCCTAACATGTAAAATGAGGATAATAAAATTACTTAATCCATAGAATTGTTGGGAGGATTAAATTAAATAATTTCTGCAAAGAACTAAAAACAATGCCTAGTATAGGAAGAGATCAAAAACTTATCTGCTAAGTACGTGTTCATTTTTTGTTTGTTTTCGAGACAGAGTCTCACTCTGCTGCCCAGGCTGGAGTGTGGAGTGCAGTGGCACGATCTCGGCTCACTGCAATCTCTGCCTCCCGGGTACAAGCGATTATGCCGCCACTCCTGACCTCATAATTCGCCCATCTCGGCCTCCCGAAGTGCTGGGATTACAGGTGTGAGCCATCGTGCCTGGCCTAAGTACACGTTCTTATACAACAGTCTCAAAAATCCCAAATACTATGGTCTTCTTAATTTGTATGATTGGGAGATGGAATACTACTCTTAGTCCCATGGCTGACAGTAATTTGCCTGGTGATATTTAATAAGTAATAAGTCACCAGTAATAAGTAATTTAATAAGTAATTTATTCACTCTGCTCTTCAGTTATTTTATGCATTAAATAAAGGAGCTGGCTTAGAATTATCAATTAGATCACTTCCACATCTAACAATCTATCTATGACTTCTTCATTGAATATTTTGATGACCAAATTTTTAGTAGCTCTCCATTTTTACTTTTAAAAACCTTGATAATTATATAGCAATATATTTGACTATTGTCTCTCTTTTCCTAATGTACTATAAGCTTTAAGAAGAAGGAATGTTTACATATTAAAGCTATATCATTTGCTGATGTATTTCAAAGTCAACAACAGATTCTTAAACCAACTGTATCCCCAAGTTGCACAGCATTGTCTTTATTATAACTCTGTATATATGTAAATGTTCTGTCCACCTCTTAATATCAACAGGACTGTTTTAAATTATATATTGCCTTGATGTTGTCAAGAAGACAGGATTCTAGCTCAAACATCTGATCTCTCTCAGTTCTGCACAATTAAACTAAATACATTTTATTTTTTCAAGTCAACATGTATTTGGCAATAAAGTTAAGCTTTAATTATATCTGTTTCTGAATATTTTTGTTATAAGTTACCTCCAAAGGCAGAATTAGAATTGTGTGATGATTTACATGTTGAACTGATTATTATTACTAATGTAATAATCAAAATTGAATAATCTTATTTATATTGCTAAGTGAAATGACACTATATTCAGTATCTAAAACCTTCACTAACCTAGAACTACCAGCAGAAAATCAAAGGTTGAACACTAATCATACTATGACAGGACTGAGTAGTAAGTACCGTACTTTCTGTAAAAGCTCAATGTAATTTAATGAATGAGGTTAATTTGTTGTCCTTTTCATAATTTGCTGTTCTGTGACCCAGGTCAAGAAGACTGTACAGGGACTATTTACTGATGTCTAAGTATTTCACACTCTTATTGCTTACTCCATAGCATAAGGAGCAATGCGTTTTAAAATTAAGAATATCCATCTAAAAACTACCCAAGAGACAATGGATGAACAAACACAGATTATATTATTCATATTTAAAATGTTCAGCCCCAAATGGAATCCTACCAGAAGCAGAATTCCTTGACAACACCTGAAAACCACTACCTGAAAGAGTTTTCATTACTAACATAAACAACTGAAAAATCAAGTATGTCTATCTAATAATTAAAAGTTCAAAAACCTTTATTAATACAATTCTGTGAAAGATTTAAGTATATGAATGTAAAGACAAACAATTTGCTAGTTTAATTTTAAGTTTCATCTCATTCTTTTTACTCTCTCCTTGGCTATATATTAATTAAAATGTATCTTAGAAATAGAACTTTATTTAAAGAATGTTACTTACCAGTGCCTTTATAGTATTTTGTACAGTTACCATATTCAATATCCTCCTTTTTAATATCAAATTGAGGCAAGGCAATTTTTTCTAACTGCACAGGATCCCCTGACTGCCAGATAAACCGTAAATCATCAGTTGTGTAACCAACTATAAACAAAAGTAAATAAATATGTTAGTTTAAAATATAATTCATTATTTTAAAATATTTTAATAATCCAAATATTAAACATAACAAAGGAAAGAAAATAAGGCCTTCTTATATAAAATTGTAGTTTAAAATGTAAAGAGGTCAAATCCATGGTCACTAATGGAAATACTAGTATAAGCATTAAATGAAGATACTTCTCTTAAAGAAAGAGCAAGCTAAATCAGCATATTGCACAGAGTTAAAATCCTAGGGCATCATACACAATAACTCATTTCTCCATCTTAGAATTATTTTTAACAATCATTAATCAAAAGGTAATAAACAAGTGATGCAAGCTTTCTGAATTTATACATTTGCAAACATGCAATATGCTACCTGGGATTTTTAAAAGAAATGTAAGCATTGAAACTTCTAATTTTTTTTAGAAATCACTGCAAAATTCCCTAAAAGGATTTGTATGACCATAGAAGGGCAATATAGTAAGCTCTCAAAGGGACATAATTACAGCATCATTTTAGCATCCTGAAGCATACATTTTGGGCTTAGGTATGTGGCTACAATTTAAAGAATTTTATAGCACACACTAGTCAACTATCGAACTCTAAAGTGCATGTATTTTTGAAAGTAATGCTTTAGTGCATCCGGTAATGGAATCAAAATCTAAATATACTGTTGGAAGTTTTATACAAGTCTATATTGACATATAGGCACTCATACACAACACATACAAAAACATAAACACATGCAAACATATAAACACACTTACATGTGCAAAATCTCATTTTATAGTTAGAAAGAAATAAATGCTGCTCAAGTTTAGGATCCATTTCAGTACATTACTTAAAAACAGCCACAAAGTAACTTTAGACATATAATCTAGAATACATAGACAAGATATTTTACCAGGATATTATTCTTCACTCTCTAAGGAAATAGATGAACTTATTATAAGATGATTCATGTATTCAGGCTAAACATTCCTTGCATTTGTGTTAATTTTTCAAGGTTTATGTCTTACTTTTATTTTCAAAAGATAAGCATCATGAGAAATTAATATATTTTATAGATAATAATTTCAATTAATCCACCTAGTATGCCTTTTAGTAACTCAAAAAAATATGATCAAAGAAACATAAAATAATACAATTTTGTAAAAAATTGTTTAAATTTATTTACACTTATAGTAAATGAATGTTAGCTTGATTTACAGAATATTTTTCAATGCTTTCTAAATTTTCTGCTAAGAAAATGTGGTTTCAACATTGGAAATGCTATTGAAATAAGGACATGATTTTCTCTTGTACCTTGCCTGTATTGCTAATTCAAATAACAATGGCAATTAGAATGTTAGAGTATACACCTACATCAATGAACTGAAATAAGACTAGTATGAAAATGATTTATCTTAATACAAGTTAATACAGTATTAATAAAAGGGTAACTATAATTTCCCTAAATAAATTATTTATGACTATTTATAATCAAAGCACCAATTTGTTATCTAAGATGTCAGTAGAAGGTATTTCCCAGACATTTTAAACACATTATCATAATCAATTAGATTCTCATTTACATACAGCTCTCCAGTTGCATCTTGCAACGTTGTGTATCCATGGGAAACAACGTCAAGTCCAAAGGGCATGAAAGAGTAATAGATAATCTGAAAGTAGAAACGCATCTTAGAAATAATTTAATATACTTCTCTGTCATCCATTGATTTTAGAAGGAAAATATATATGCACAAATATTAAATATAAAAGAGTACCTCATGCTGACAAGGACATCTCCATCACGAAAAATAAAGAGGAGGATGTTTTCCTGGGTTACATCATGAAAGTTGGCACTTTTTTCATTTGCAAAAAATAAATCAGGTTTCCATAAACACTTATACATCGTTGGATCCACTGTCAGTGCATCTGAACCCCTAAAATCACTGGGAAGCTTCAGCCTGGGGTCATTCCATTTTTGTCTCAGGAAGATGTTAACTCTATAGTCCTGAGAAAAAGGTACATGCATGCACATGTGTATGTTTATTGCTTATTAAAGAACTTATTCAGCCACAAAACAAAAAGAGATACAATGATTAGTGGCACAAATATTTTTGTTCTTCCACTATCAACCAGGATCACAACAACTGCTTCACAAAAGAAGAGCTCCATTAGCAGGATAAAGAAACTTGACTCTACGTAATTACTCTCTACAGACATTCTGTAGCACTTGCTAGCTCAAACATCAGAATACAACCTTATTGATAGTTCCTTTACCTTTATACAAACACCAGTTACTACAGTTGATTAGGCGGTAGTACAATAAAAGCATGAGAACCACTAAATATTGCTATCATTCTTCCCATAACCTTTTTGTCCAAATATACATATATCTTAAAATTAAAATTCATAATGAAATTTAGATTATTACTTAATATTTGATGATCATTGTGACACGTACAAAACTTAATTCAAGAATGTCCAAGACTAAAAGCCTATCTTTCTCATAAAGTGAAGGCTTTCAACAGATACAATGTGGCGAAAGTTTTTATCCATTCCTGGAAGACATGCATGGCCCTCTACTTTAGAGGGAATACACATTAGTTTCAAGCATTTCCTTATAAAATATGAATTATATAACCTTAGCAAAAGCATGTGGGTGATAGCCACTCGATATTATTTTGAACACTCAATAGTATTCAATTTAAATTATTTGCTAAAAAACTTCCTTGAAATAATTTGCCAAAGTTATTGGCATTCTAAAACTATACACACTGAAAATTATTATATTACAGTCTGTTGTCATGCTGCCAATAAAGACATACCTAAGACTGGCTAATGTATAAAGGAAAGAGGTTCAATTGACTCACATTTCACATGCGATAGGAGGCTTCACAATCATGGCAGAAGGTGAAGGAGGAGCAAAGGCATGACTTACATGGCGGCAGGCAAGATAGCATGTGCAGGGGAGCTCTCCTTTATAAAACCATGAGATCTCATGAGACTTACTCACTATCACAAGAGCAGCAGGGAAAAGACCTGCCCCATGATTCAATTACCTACCACTAAGTCTCTTCTACAACATGTGGGAATTATGGGAGCCACAATTCAAGATGAGATTTTGGTGGGGAACAGCCAAACCATGTCACCTCCTTTAAGTGCTATGTTTTATCAAGGTAAATAACCAAAACCCTGTAACTTTGTAGTTCAACCATTGTGGAAGACAGTGTGGCGATTCCTCAAGGACATAGAAATAGAAATTCCATTTGACCCAGCAATCCCATTACTGGGTATATATCCAAAGGATTACAAATCGTTCT